TCTGGATGATAGCGGGGTGAACAGGCAGTGGCTCGGGTGGTTGATGTCCTTGATGATCTTTTTGGCCTTCCTGTGACATCGGGTGCTGTATGTGTCTTGGAGGGCGGGTAGTTTGCCCCCGGTAATGCGTTCGGCAGACCGCACCACCATCTGGAGAGCCCTGCGGTTGTGGGCGGTGCAGTTGCCGTACCAGGTGGTGATACAGCCCGACAGGATGCTCTCAATTGTGCATCTGTAAAAGTTTGTGAGGGTTTTAGGTGATAAGCCACATTTCTTCAGCCTCCTGAGGTTGAAGAGGCTCTGTTGCGCCTTCTTCACCACACTGTCTGCGTGGGTGGACCATTTCAGTTTGTCGGTTATGTGTACGCCAAGCTTTCCACCTTCTCCACTGCGGTCCCGTCGATGTGGATAGGGGGGTGCACCCTCACGATCATCCCCTTAGATGCATGTAGTTACCCTGATGGATTAACTGTGGCCATCGTATCATCAGGCTCCTCAGAAGTAATTATACCAGAGCTATTTTAAAACTCAGGTTAAGAGTTGATTGCCTCCAGCTAAGTGGACCAGGGCCTGCTGTAATTCCCCAGCATCATAAAGTGGCGCTTCAGTGCTGTTGAAAAGCCAGGAAATGCCAAGAAAATCTACATCAGTCGGCGTCAAGTTCCCCATACCGCTATAAAACACCCTTAAATCAACTGGGCTAAGTGTCGAGGAGAGGGAGAGAAGGAGCTCTGTGAGTGTGGATGGAGGTTGAAGGTCTTCGGTAGTATTATGTAATTAATTGAAAAAAGGAAAGACTGAAGTAAAGACAAACAGCTCTCTGAGAGATGCTTTTCTCAGGCTGCTGTGTAGGTATGGAGCGTCTGGTAATTTTGAGGCAGAGGGGTGCTGGCTGGGCCTGAAGGCCTTTAAAGACTGTTGACAACATAGAGAGAGAATGCCTGCCCTGCCACGGCGTGGCCGCCCATCCTTCAGTACAATGCCAGTGCCAACAGTGGATATTTTAGTCTGTGCTCGCCTGCCCAGGCCTGCGATTGTAAGCCTCTATGCCTGACGTATAAATACCCAGTGGAGATAGTGAGATTTCGGAGGATTTACATTACATCATTGACATACAGTAGTGGCCATGCTATGTTTGCTTTCTTTTTCTGTGGTATTGTATGTAATAATGCACTGCACACTATTCAGGCCTAGCCAGGGGTCCATTTTTTATTGCAGGTTGACATTTATTGTCATGAATCTTGCCCTGGAGGCAGAACTGAACGATTTCCATCAGGTGGGCCAGCTGCATAGTCAAAATGGGCTATATCGTAAAAATTCATGAAAACTAAAATTAGCTTTTTGGTCTTATATTAGGGTTAGGCATTAGGGTTAGCAGTGTGGTTAAGGTTAAAATCAGATTTTATGATTTTGTGGCTGTGCAAGCTAGTGACCAGTCTGCAGAGCTGCCTCCAGGGCAACATTCATGACAATAAATGCCAACCTGCTATTTTATTGCACTCGTCATTACTCAGTTCAATGACAGACCCGTGGGGGCACACACAAGAGTCATGCAACGACACAGTACAGCTCTGACACATGCCACACATAACCTTCTGCAACGGTGAAACGGGTTCACCCTGTCAGCGTATCCATGGGAATAGCATGATGCCTGAAAGCCTGTGACAGAGGCTAATGCCAGAGCCATAAATATGATTCTGGTTGATATTTCAGGACAGTAAAACACTACACTTAACTGTATGCTTATCCTATAGTATTCTCTATTCTCACTGGATGGTATCACTCTGAACTTGCTCTGACAGAGTCACACAGGGAGGTCACCCACCTGTGATGCACAGCAGGGCATATCCAGGAATTGATTGATTTGATTGACACACTGGCATTCATGTTATACAAGTATGTTATAGTTAAGCAATAAGGCCCTAGGGGGTGTGGTATATTTGCCATAATAAACTGGGTAGTTCGAGCCCTGAATGCTGATTGGCTGACAGCCGTGGTATATCAGACCGTATACCATGGGTATGACAAAACATTTATTTGTATTGCTCTAATTATGTTGATAACCCGTTTATAATAGCAATAAGGCACCTCGGGGGTTTGTGATATATGGCCAACATACCACAGCTAAGGGCTGTATCCAGGCACTCCACGTTGCGTCGTGAATAAGAACAGCCCTTAACCGTGGTATATTGGCCATATACCACAGCTCCTCGGGCCTTATTGCTTAAACATACCACAGTTCTTAGGCATGATGCAAAGCAGAGTTTCAGCCAATCAGCATCTAGGATCCAAACTACCCGGTTTATAATTGATAATCAATCACTCATTGAGTACACATAAGCGGGTCAGAACAGAATTAATTTCAGCCCCCTAGAGCAGATTTTTCTCCATGTAACACTCTCTCAGGCCATCAAAGTGCCTGGTATAGGATAGATACCATACTCAAGACTGGAGTTACAGTATATAACATCCATCAGGACTGCTTTACCATATGGACCAAAAGCTTGTCTCTGACCATTCTGAATAATCTTACCATAATCTTACCATTAGCCGTGACTTCTAGACTTTCAGCTTTAGAGGACACAGGCCACCACTAGTATCTAGGATCTCTGGCTTTGTCTGGCAGTGTTTGTGAGATGCAGACTCTCTCTCCTCAGCTGCCCCAGGGCAGTGGGCCGTTTCTAGGGGAGCGTTGGGCCGTGCGGGCATCAAACATGGCTGACCGGCTGTTGACAGCCCCTTCTCCCCCAGGGTGTGTGTGCAGGCACACTCATGCGTGTGTTTGTGTGTATGTGCGTGTCCACAGTAAAGTGACGGCCTGCCAGCTCGAAGGATGCAGTGTAGGATGAATATTAACTACTACTGTCATGACATGGACAGAGCTTGAATGCTTCACATACATTGCCCACCACTGTAAGTTCAGCATGTATGTCTGTATGGGGGAGAATTTGGGAGGCTTTCTCATGTTCTACAGGTTCAGTCTCAGCCATCTGTATCCTCACTAGAGGAAGCCTAACCCTCTCTCTCTCTCTCTCTCTCTCTCTCTCTCTCTCTCTCTCTCTCTCTCTCTCTCTCTCTCTCTCTCTCTCTCTCTCTCTCTCTCTCATAGTGTACTGACATCTTGGCCTCATAATTAAGTCTGAGACTTGCCTTTGAAACATATAAAACTCTAGCATGAGTTAATATGGTGCTATTTGTTTTACCAGAGAGCTAATTTAGTGGACTGAATCACTGTCTCCCCAACGGGCCTAATAAGATGTATAAAGCTATAGCAGCAGCCCGTAGCTGACAGTGATTCAGTCCACTAAATTAGCTCTCTGGTAAAACAAATAGCACCATATTAACTCATGCTAGAGTTTCCAATGCTTACCCCCTCCACCCGCCAAAATAAAAAATAATTTCCTGGAGCCTTACTTCAGTTATAGTTGGCATATAATTCAGTCGACCACAACATAAAAAACTCAAATATACAGTCCTTCAAATGTTCTCTCTGGGGACGAGGGTGAGCACAGTCTAACAGATTTAGCCCTGGGTTAAACAGTGGTAGCAAATTGCCTGTTATGAGCAGCACAATGCAGAGTGTCTGCTTCTGGAAGTGGTCAGTGAAGCTAAACACTGTGCATTATGAACATTCCTAACAGTTAGCCAATGGCAAGAAGGCCTCATGCTATTTTAGAAGGGGACAAATGGGTGTACGATATGTTCTTGTCCCAGTCCCTTAAAGTGAAAAACAGAGCTTTATGAAGAGTTTCTGTCCTCAATGCTATTGTTATATCAGATCATTGTTGGTGATGTCAATATTCCCCAGAAATACCAGTTTTAGTGTGCAGGGGCAAAGATAGCACTAGGCAAGTAAGGTTAATGCATTAGAAAACCAAGTATAATATTGGTTACTGGAGGAAGGTATTGAGTTGACGCAACACAATAATCCTACTGGTCATCGCTCACCCTTAGGGTCGACGCTGAATAGCCAATCAACTCCCTCCCCCCACAACCCACTTTACAGCACAATCTCTTTATGAACCAAGTCTTGGCAGCCACTTGTAATCCTCAGATTGTGTTTTGGAAAGATGCAGGTTGGGTGCCAACAACCCAGAAGAACACAATGGCTACAGTACTTTCCTCCAGAGTCTAATGCTGCCTGCCATCTCCAGGGGGTTGGTTTAAAGAGCAGCACAGTTATAAAACATTATGGAATGTATTGTGTTGTTCTGGGTCTACTGGACCTCAAGTTAATAAAGTGGAAAAGTGATGCTCGGTTCAACCCCACGAGTGGCGCCACTGGAGTGAAATTTCATTACGTCTCCAGAAGTATTACGTCTAACACAGTACAACATATATTGCGGACAGACAGAGAGGTTGCGCAACAGACCAATCCATTTATAATGCGTTTAGAAAATATAAGCCAAAGCAGGAAGAGAGTGTGGAGGGGAAGTCTATTGATTGTAAAAGAGGATAGGCTTCCTTTGAAGCAGGACTGAGAAGAGTCTCTTTTTGATGAACCGGAGAGGTATTTCCTGGCAGGTACCTGCTATGATAAATGAGGTCATCCCATTTCTCCTTTTTGCTATATGTGTGTTTTGTAAATCCTAGTGTGAATCACAGCAGCCCGGAATAGTGGACTGTGTGTGTATATGAGTGTGTGTGTCACAGTAGTCAGGGTGAGTGTGTTGTTGTTCTGCCCGTAGGCCTCTCGCTGGGGCAGGACAGGGCAGAGGGGCGTGGCAACAAGGCCAAGATATGACACAGCAGTCAAAGCAGAGGCAGGTAGAGCCCTCAGCCAATTGGAGCCGTCGGCATGGAGTAGCTCTGGGAAATTACAGCTCAGGACACAAAGAGGGGAGGAGAGCTCTGTATGACACATGCTTACACAGAAAGAAAGAAAGAAATAAAGAAAGAGGGAGAGAGAAAAAGAAAGAGTGTGTGAGAGGTAGCTAGATACAGTAGAGGGAGAGTTATATTACAAAGGTTTACTGGCACACAGACAGACCGACAGATAGATGCAGGCAGCCAGTGCAGTGCACACAGTGTGCCCCCTCAGTACAGCAAACATGTCTGTGAGGATACCAGTACTGAAAGAGCCTGTTCTTCCTGTCTATGTGCAGTTCTCCAGGGACAAGTACATAATGGAGGGCCCACCGGAGAAACTACGCAAGGAGCTGGAGGACGAGCTGAAGCTGGGCAGTGAGGAACCACGCAGCCACGCCTGGTACCATGGTGCCATCCCCAGACAGGTAAAAGAAAACACACACCCACACACACTCTGGAGGGACAACTCGGCTGCCTGTTTGCCTGACTGTTTTAGAGTCTAATGATTTCCGAGCCTTATTTTAGCTTGGGTCAAAGGATTCTTGATAAAGTATTTTTTGGCGGCCGGCGGCACACGCTGGCTCTTTGTGAAAGAGGATAGTCATATAAAGAGATGGAGCTGAGAGGGGCTTACTGTGAAAAACGACCAGCCCAATGATAGCATGCAGAGAGGGGAGGGGTTCCTCTGTTGCCAACAGCTACGGCCGGGTGTCCAGTTGCGCACTGATTTCATTCAGGGGCCTGTCACTCCCACTGTCTGTTGGTCACCCACCCACCCTGTGGAGGAATCACAGCACTGGCGCTCTGAAAACATGGCAACCATGCAAAACCTTGCGCATACCCGGGCAGAGCAGGACAGCTGGCCAGACAGACATGTGTCCAAGCTCAACCAAACACAATACTTTGTTTGGTAACACTGGGGAGTATTATGTGAATGGAGAGTCAGGGAGCTCAGACACTTTGGCAGGCAGCTCGTCATAAATATGTGAAAACTCCCAGTGTGTCTAGAGGTTTCCAGAGGGGAGCTGTGTGTCTTTCATGTGGACTAAAGAATAAAAGCTGGCTGAGGGTCTGGACTTAGGAGGAGGCTGTGACAGAGTGTGACAGATCCCTGCCCTCTGACCTCTAGGGCAGGGGTGTTCAACTCTTACCCTACGAGGTCCGGAGCCTGCTGGTTTTCTGTTCTACCAGATAATTAATTGCACCCACCTGGTGTCCCAGGTCTAAATCAGTCCCTGATTAGAAAGGAACAATGGATAAAAACGCAGTGGAACTGACTTCGAGGTCCAGATTTGAGTTTGAGGGCTCTAGGGGCTGAGCCTTGTTTTGAAAACAGGGATGTAAAGTCTGAGGAGAGTTAGTGAGGATAGTGACCCACCTCAACACCCAGGGCTCAGCTCAAAGAAGTGCTTATACACAGAATAGTAAATCAGGGACAGTGTTTTTTCCTATGATTCACTCTCAGGTAGCAGCTTGTCTGAAACTGGTTGAGCCAGATCAGAATCAGACAAACAAGGACAGGTCAACAACAGAAATAAGTATTTATCTTGACAGGTCTGTTCTACAGCACTAGCTGTATTGAGTCCATTGAGCTGTGTGAGGCTCAGTGATCAAAGGGCAGACTCACTGTCAGTTTGACATACTGTGGCTGAATGAGGCTGCATGGTTAATTGAAATGGGCTTCATTTCAACCTTGTGCTTTCATCAGTATCTCACTAAGAGCTTGTCACTGAGAACATGTCAGTGTGAACAGAGCGGCGCTGACACACACTTAGTAGTGAAAGCTCAGACCGCAGAGCTCGGTCCATGAACCCCTGCCTCAGTGAGGATGCTCTGTCTGCCTCAGCACACACACAGAGCGAGAGAGACAGGTCTTAATTTGATGGTAACGACACATGGGTGCCATCAGATGACATTATGCTTTTTATTAACGTCTTCTCTTACAGCCGTCCACTGATCTGCCAGGGACCACGCCTCTATAAGTCTAATCATTATCCCTAAGATAAAAGCTCATCTGTGCTCACTGTGCCACCAATCCCATTTCTCAGTACACCCATCATCTCCTAGTTTCGTTCTACTGTATCTCCCAGTGGAGTGGGTGTAGGCCAGGGAGCCCTGCAGCCTTGTTCCATGTCTTACGTGTGACCTTGTAAGGGGTGTGAGCCAGCATGTATCACAGCCCTCCATTAGGCATTGTGAGAGTCACAATGGCTCTGCCAGGCCCTGGTTAGCTACACACGGTACAGTACAGTACACGACTGGGTGTCTCTCAACTAGAACTAGTAAGATCAGCTCAGTCCACTCCCATTATAGCATTAGAGAACACATCAGCAGCTCCAGGCTTCAGGTGATTGAGGTTTTTTTCCCCCATGCCAGTGCATGGGGATAGTAAAGGCTGTCACAGTGCATGTATGTCATACGGAAAAACACTGGCTACTCAAGTTGCTCAACAAGTTGTGCTGGCTATAGGATTGTGAGACATTGATATAGATTGCAATAATTATCAAGTTACACACATGTCACCCTAGAGTTTTCTTCAAATAAAATGAGTTGTTGAAAAGTTTCCTAATGTCTTTACAGACAACAAATAAGGCTTTGTGGTGCTACAATTTTCCCTGCAGTAAAAAAAAAAAACATAGCTGTTTAAGAAACACTTTCAATAACCATCTAATTTCACAACAAAACATTTCACAAGGGTTATCTGCCAGAAATATATAAATAACATTGCATGGCTAATGGATGTAATACGGATCTCAATTTCAATGAGCAATTTCATGAGGTATAAATCAAATGACTTTCAATGCGTCAGACTGGGTTGATAAACCCAAAGCATCGCCTCGTGTGTAAAATCACAGATGAGACCCTGAATAAGAAATGGAGCTCTTTTGAGCTTGTCCTTGCAGTCATGTGACAGGGTGGCATAAGACTGGTAAACACACACACGCTCAGTTTTACAGCTCATGCTGCACCTCCTCAGTAGAACAGAGACTTTACGTAAGGACACTGTAAAACAGCATTCATGCTGCCAAGTGATCCTAATAAGGTTTAATAAGCTCCTTCCTGGTGCTATTGCAGCCCGATTGTGAAAAGAGGGCTTTTAAAACGTTTAATTAAAAACCCTCAACCTTCCAACTCCAAAACATGATGATATAAACATAATTACTTAGTTCAATACTAACTTAATTAAAAAGTAAAGTAATTAAATGTTTGGAAGAACAACATGAGTGAAGTGGAGTGTGTAGACCAATGTATGAGGTGACTGGGGGTTTTGGTCATTTGACCCTCCAGTTTGGCTGTGTGGCCTGGGCTCAGAGAGCATTCTGGGAAGTATCATGATGTCACAGTACAGTAACAGTAGCTCTAGAAAAAACTTTCAGTGAGCCAAGCATGTTACTTAGAAGGCCATTCAGTGAGAGGGAGTAGAGCGCCTGTAGCCACAAATCCAACTGTGAGACGAGTGTGACAAACTGAAAACACACTAGACACAGTTCTAACTGTGTGATATTGAAAATACAGTGTGTGAGCTATATAGCTGTGTGTATGTGTGCTCAACATGTGTCCTCTGGTGTCCAGGTGGCAGAGAACCTGATCCAGAGAGATGGGGACTTCCTGATCCGGGACTCTCTGTCCAGCCCTGGGAACTACGTCCTGACCTGCCAGTGGAAGAACAGCCCACAGCACTTTAAGATAAACAAGAAGGTGGTGGCCATGAATGAGGCCTACTCCCGGGTGCAGTACCTGTTTGAGAAGGAGGGCTTTGACAGCGTGCCCGCCCTGGTGCGCTACTACGTGGGCAACAGAAAGCCAGTGACTGAGGTGGTGGGGGCCATCATCTTTCAACCCATCAACAGGGCCTTGCCCCTGCGCTGCCTAGAGGAGAAGTATGGGGTGGCCTGTGTCCGTGTGGAGGCTGGCCTGACCCTGCCCGACAGGAAGAGCCAGACGTCTAAACGCCTGAGCCTCAACATCATGAACGGACACACCCAGGACCACAGCCTCGGACGGGGGAACCTGCTTAGGTTAGTAGGCTATCTACAGCGGTTCAGGCCTGTCTGGTCTGGACATAGTGTATGTAGTTGGAAATTGTCTGTGAACGGTAGGCTACAATGGAGATGCTTGCTTGCAGGCGCAAGATACATTTATTACAGCAATAACGTTCCATGTATTTTCCTCTGCAGCCAGGAGCTTATATAGACACTGTACATTCCGTCATACATTTATAGGCAGGCAATTTATAGGTAGCTATAAAATATAATTTTGTAGGGGTTTAGTCCAAATGGAATTGGCTCCGTATAATTTCATGTATAGCCTAACATGCAAACAACACATGTGCACTCCAAATTTGTAACACGAATGTGGGAGTAACAGAGATAAGTACACGTCTACAATAAACCATTCCTGAGGTAAAGTAAGGAGTGGTGTTTAGCCTGGATGGTGAATACCAACCTCTGAGCACAATACCAAGGCAAACCAGGACAAAAATTACCCCATCAAATTACACTGTACCATTTTACATAACAAACAGTGCACACAATGTATCAGGTTTCTCTAGGGGTTAGTGGTGTGGTGTGCCCAGTGGACGTGTCTCTGTTGGTAGCTAGAGGGCTCAGTCCAATTGAACACTCTCTTTTTCTCCTTCTGTTTCTCTCCCTCTTTCTCTTCCTCACTCTCTTTCTGTCTATCAGGAACAAAGACAAGTGTGGAAGCCAGCCGGCGTGTCTGAACCACGTTCAGGAGAGACGACGGCCCCTCAAAACCCACCAGTCAGAGAGCTTCCTCCCGCTAGGTATGTACCGTCTGCTCTAACTCCCTCGCTCTATACTCCTCTTTCTCTCTCTCTCTCTCTCTCTCATATCCTGTCATTATGCTACAGTCAGAGGATTTACAGCTCTGACGAGCCTGCAAAATACTTGTTTCCGTGAACATGCATTCTTTGCACAGGGGTGGGAATATTTCAAAGGCAAATGTTAATATTTTCTTCTTCAAAATGTTGCTTTGTATTCTTTCAACTCAGAAGTGAAAAGTGTGACATGAGCTAGGGATGAAGATAAATGTATTTCTGAAAGGATTACAGATAAAAGCTGAAATGGAAATCGATAGATGTGCTTGAAGTCTGAGTCTTTGGCATAAAAGAGCCGAGAGATCAGAGAGATTCAAAATGCTGCATTCCATTCTGTGACTGACAATGTAATTAAGCTTTGTATGCAGAGTCAGACTTCAAATAGACAGCAGGACTCCCAGGCAGCAGCTAGAGAACACAGCATGGCTCTAGCTGTGTGGTGTTGCTAGGCTGCAGTGTGCAGGTTTAAATAATGATGTTCACCTCTTTCTCGCTCACCCTCTCCCCAGGCTCCAGGCCCCAGCCCCAGTCCCAGCTCATGGAGCACCAGCCCAGCCCCAAGTCTCCAGTATTCAGGACGGGCAGTGAGCCGGCCCTCAGCCCCACCGTGCCAAGGAGGATGGCCTTTGAGACCCAGGCTGGGGAGGCCATCCGGGGCTCAGACAGCCAACTCTGCCCCAAGCCCCCCCCTAAGCCCAGCAAGGTGCCCTCCATCAGGATGCCCTGCTCCCCACGTCTGCAACCCCTGGCTGCCCCAGCCCCGGGTCCCCCTGTACCCCCACTGAAACCCAAGAAGCAGCATGTGATCCAGGCTCTCCAGCCTCCGCAGCCCCCCAGCCCGGAAGTGAACTACTGTGAGCTGGGCCCCTGCAGCCCAGCAGAGTGGGACAGGCTCCAGGCCCCAGCCCCAGGGCCCCAGCCCAACAACAACAGTTACGTAGAGAGGCTGAGGACAGAGGAGAGCCAGAGGAGCAGCCACGGCTCCAAACTGGACCGCAGCTCCTACCACCACGCCATCGTAGCCCTGGAGAATGGCAGCGAAGAGGTGGAAGGAGGTGGAAAAGGAGGGATGGAGGAGATAGAGGAGACTGTGGAGGAGAAGGAGAGAAGCTTCCGGCGGCCGGTGTTGGAGACTGCGTCTGTGTTCCGGCCGGGGGAGTTTGAGTCGAGGCTGCTGCCTGCAGAGAACAAACCCCTCGAGATGAGTGTGCTGAAGAGAGTCAAAGAGCTGCTGGTCCATAAAGACCACCACATCATCGCCAAGCACATCCTCATGGCAGACTGCCAGGTACTGCAGTGCACTGTCCCACTACACACCATACCCACATTACATTCACCACTAGTCCTACTGGATGTCTCCTACTCAGGGCTGAATCCCAACCAGAGATCATAACTGATATTTCAGTGTACATCATGAATTGATGATATACACTGAGTATACAAAACATTAAGAACACCTTCCTAATATTGAGTTGCACCACACCCCCTTTTGCCCTCAGAACAGCCTCAATTTGTCAGGGCATGGACACTACAAGGTGTCGAAAGTGTTCCACAGGGATGCTGGCCCATGTTGACTCCATTGCTTCCCACAGTTGTTTCAAGTGTGCTGGATGTCCTTTGGGTGGTGGACCATTCTTGATACACACAGGAAACTGTTGAGCATGAAAAAGCCAGCAGCGTTGCAGTTCTTGACACAAACCAGTGTGCCTGGCCCCTACTACCATACCCCGTTCAAAGGCACTTGAATATATTGTCTTGCCCATTCACTCTCTGAATGGCACACATACACAATCCATGTCTCAATTGTCCTTCTTTAACCTGTCGTCTCCTCTCTTCATCTACACTGATTGAAGTGGATTTAACAAGTGACATCAATAAGGGATCATAGCTTTCACCTGGATAGTCTACGTCATGGAAAGAGTAGGTGTTCTTAATGTTTTGTATACCCAGAGTAAATTTGCAGGACAGTTTGATGAGTTAGGATTCAGGTCTCATTCTTCAGCAACATCTAACTAAGTGGCTAGACACAGTCAGGCACACAGAGGGCATCAGAGACAGACTGGCATTTCATTAATTTCCTCTCGTTGGTATTTGGCCTTTTACAGACAGGTGTCTTAAGTCTGTCTGGGTGTGGTACACCACACAAGTGCAAAATGAAACCAGTGAATTTAATTTAGTAGCCTAGGCTTGAAGGGAACATCTTTATAGTGTTGTTGAAAACAGCTATGGTACAAAGTTATGTAAATGTTGCTTTGAGATGTCGCTTGTTTAATTCAGTTAGAAGGAACTAATGATCAATGATAGGATTTCCCCAAACATGACCATACTAAAACACTTCCAAAACCACACTAATACAAAAAATTATGTACCTGACAGATTGCGAGGGTACATGGCATCTCTGAGGAGGTGAAAGGTCAAATGGGTGTGTCCTCTGGTCTGGAGCTGGTGACCTTACCCCATGGCAGGCAGCTGCGGCAAGACCTGATGGAAAGGTAAACACACACATATACACACCCAAATCCTCCTCAGGTGCTAGTGACCCCACATGTAGACCACAAGAGGTTATAGGGACTTATGACTGAACTTTCTGTTGTGTAACCCAGGCACCACACCATGGCCATCGGGGTTGCCGTGGACATCCTGGGCTGCACAGGAAGTCTGGAGGAGCGGACCGCCACGCTGAACCGCATCATCATGGTGGCTCTAGAACTGAAAGACTCCATGGGGGACCTGTACGCTTTCTCCTCCATCATGAAAGCGCTGGACATGCCTCAGGTACCACACTCAATACAGCCGGACACATAAGACACGGTCCCCCAAACCCACCACGTGGTCTGAGATGAGTCCTTAACCCTTCACACTTGTGGGAATTGGCCTATATGGATAGGGCTAAATTGAAATGTTTCTTACAGAAGAAATATGAAAACGCATAACCATGGTAGCTATTGAAAGGGAACAGTTTAGAGATTATGGGGAAATTATTAGACCAAAGGTGAGGACAACAGTTCACCTGACAAGACTGAATCCAAACATTACACTGTTGATTTTGTGCATTTTACATTTACTGTACTTTTCGCCGCATTTGTTGATAACGAAATCTGAGAATACTCTGGATACATTCAGTAGCATGATAAGACTATTCCTGGAAAATGTGGGGTAGGTGCAACATAAGACAAAAAATGACAAGGGTTTGAGTGAGAGGACTAACTGGTGTCTCCAAGTGGCCACACACCTCTCCAAAGTGTGCACAGCGCCTAAGTAATGTCAATGCACTTTTATGACTCAAACGTCAACTATAAGGTGCTTTTTTGAGCTCTCCTAGCTGTGCCGTTGTGGAACTAGAGCAAGCACACTTGTAGTTGATTTGTTTGGAATAAAACCCTGCATCCCCGCCATCACACAATTACTGTTGTTGTTTACGCAATCTAAAAACAGTCTATTATAAATCGCAATCTTGGTCAGGTGGGCATGATTTGAAAGCTTGCTCTATTGCCAACATGACTAGCTAAGTTATAAAATACGATCTTACAATGTTAGGCTTTCACAAAGCAATTCAGAGAAACAGATTGTAATTTTGGTTGCCATAGAAAGGAGTAGTGTGTGTATTCAGGTGCGTGTTCCGTGGCAGATTTTCTTCACATTAGACAAACAGACTCACTCACTCAGAACAACCCAGCGTGACGCATTGTCATCCTGTAACTGTACATCAAACATAGTGACCATAAACGTTGACATTGTATATGACATGAGTTTTATGATTTGAAAATGTGAAGTGCACATTTGAACTCACTGGTGTTTGGCTTGCTTGTATGACATCAAAGCTGTATTTATTATAATCCTCAACGTCTCATTTTAAAGTCCTCTTAATTTACAGAATTTCCCTCACTCAGGCAACAAAAAATTTGCCAAAGTTGCCCAATTAGTGGGAGGGATGGGGCAACTTCTTGTCGTGTGCGGCGCTCAAGTTCAGAATGGCTGTCATCAAAACCCACACAGAGCTGTGAAGCGCAGAGCCAGGGCTCTGATGTCATGTATAGCATGTTACTGTACAGCCACTGCGTTCCAATTTAGGCGTCTATCAGTGTCCAAATCTGCCATTTTCAACCCGTATAATGGTATGAGTGTAAAGGGCTGCAGGCGTAGGCTGAAGAGATATTGTGGTTGTTTCCTAACAGCTCTCTGCTCTTGACCACAGATCACACGGTTAGACCACACCTGGACCATGCTGAGGAGGAAGTACACTCAGACTGCCATCATATACGAGAAGTCTCTCAAGCCCTTTTACAAGGGACTGTATGAAGGAACAGGTAAAAGCACTTCAATGGAGCCTTCAGTTGTAGTTGTGTGTTAGTGGTTGCAGTCTCTGACCGTGTCCCTGTGTGTGCGTGTATAGCGGACATGCCCCTGACAGGCACCACGGTGCCTCTACTGATGCCCCTGCTGACGCTGATGGAGCGCCCGGCGGTGGCATTCGAGGGCATGGAGCTGTGGGAAAGCAACGACCAGGGCTGTGAAATCCTGCTACGCCACCTGGAGGAGGCCCGCAGCGTGGCACACAACGCTGACTCATACACCGCCAACACTGAACGCGTCCTGCAAGGTAATACACTCCACACCCACTGCTAGATACACACCTACTGCTAGATACAGGGCTCACAGTTGTCCAAATGAATTGCTATGCAAATACTCCTGTCCAAAACGACCTGTATTCACATTTGCCCATAGCTTTTTTCATAGTGCCCGAGATTGCGAAAGACACTATAACAAAAGCCATACTGCATGTCTCAGCAGGTATGAGTTACAAGGCTAATGATAACGTGTTCCTCTTTCTGGTTGCAGATTTCCATGCTGACAAGGACCTTTTAGAGATCTGTAAAACAGACTTCCAGCTGCGTCTGCTGTGGGGCAGCAGAGGGGCGGCCGTCAACCAGACGGAGAGATACGACAAGTTCACACTCATCCTGACTGCTCTGTCCAGGAAACTGGAGCCAGCGGTCAAACACACAGAACTCTAATCAGAGCCTGTGGTAAACAGAATCTGTATTACTGAACAGTGGTTGGTCGTATGTAAAAGGACAGTCAGGCTGGTTAAGAGAGGACAAACTGTGCCCTGTATTGTCTGGGATGAGGAAGACTGTTACAGAGCGAGACTGCTGTCCTTTCTCAACCTGTCCACTGGAGGGAGTGTGAGTCAGATCCAGTTGGAACATCCCTGTCAGGACACTGATCTGAGTGTGCTGATATGAAGGGGAAATATTTCCCTCCGTGACGCAGGAGGTGGGTAGCCTGGTCCCAGATCTGTTTGTGCTCTTGCCTACTCCATTGCAGTCATTGTCAAGTCAATGGCATGACAATGAGTGTCAGGGAGTTGGCATGATAGCACAAACAGACTAGCACCCAGGCTAGGAGGGGGGCGTTTACACCATATATGTGGTAGTGTAGCCCCTTGGCCCTTAGTCATCCTTCTGTATGTTACTGAGTGGAACACACACTGACCACAGAGGACCCAAGAAGCATCTCTGAAAGTGTTTGTCAGAAGGAAATGGGTGTATGTTTGAATGTATCACTAAAGTAGTGATTGAACACCCTTGTTATAAGGGTTCAACAATGACTTTGAAAGGAGAACATAGAATGACGAGACAGAAGAAATGGAAGAATGAAAACGATTGGTCGCTATACAATAGAGGCAGTTTAACCGTATATTGTCTTAAATACTATATACTGTATGTATATTAACTAGATCTTCGACTGTCTGTTCATTGTTCCTCAGATGTGGTATATTATGAGTTCATCTGGATAATCCTGAATGGTGAAAGGTGTACATAATACATAAGCATGTGAATGCTAGACTGTAATATATTTCCCTCTTAAATATTGACTTGTAAATAGAGTTGCGTACAATTGTAATATCTTTATATGAACTATTGTGGCAAGAAATGAATAAATAGATGATGAAATTACATGCAGATGGTGTCTGACTAACAACAACAACCTTGGAACATTTCTACATTTCACAGGAAGTATTATGATGGTCTGGATTCAATCTGCATCGCAGAAGTATTGTGGAAGATCAGAGTTCTTGCTCGATTGAAATTGAAAGGCGGAGACTGCATTGACGGGAAACGCTGCATATGTCGGCTCAATCGGAAATTACCTTTACATTTTAACATGGATCTTACGCGATACGGATTGAATCCAGCCCTGTGTTGATGAAGAGCAGGCTTGCAAAATTAGGAGGGAATAAGCAGAAAAAATCCGGAATCCTCCAACCAGGATTTCTGGAAAACCAGGGGATTTACTGAAAGTTTCCGGAATTTTGCAACCCTAATGAAGTCTTCAATAAGATGCTAAATGTTCTTTGGTATGTTCATGTGTTTGTTTTATTAGAACAAAGAGAGAAAACATTTTTTTCCACAAAGTGTCTGACAACATTAAAAAGTAAAAAGAGATGTGCACAACAACATGAAGAAATAGAAGTACTGCCATTGATTATTAAAATAAGAGTCAACTGAGATTCTCATATCTACTTGTTTGCCATTAGATGAATTTGCCGCCATGCCAACTCAGCTGGGTTGGTAGATAACACAATTTGCTCCTTGCCGTGATATGCGTGAATACTTTATATCATCTTAAAGCATATTGTTAGGAGCTTTTTTGCATAATGATCAGAATTACAGCATAATGGATATGATTTAGCTCACAGTTTTAATCCAAAGTGAAAATCACATTTTTAATCGCATAACTTTTAGTTGAGGATGCTAGTGAAAAACCTACAGCATTATCTATTATCATACTTTGTCACCACTGAAGGCCACTTGCACCAAGGTGCCAAGAATACGGTCAGCACTGTTTTAGACCATTAGAGACAAGCTTGTCAAAATCCTTGTTATATTACTGATGAAGGATCGCCAGACACACACTGCAGAAATTAATGGGTTAATTCATATTCAAATCAACTACTTACACTTTGACATCCTCTCCTGATTTAGAGATCCACAATAACATGTTCATCAGGGATGTAACCAGTATTACTAGATATTGGTTGATATTGTAGGGTAGGGTAAAGGGTCTACAATACAGGCAGGTAGCCAATATCCAGAGCTTACATATTTGCTGTAAACTCCAGATATGTGGAGTCAAGCATGCACCATCATGCTCTGAAAGCCACTCAAGGGAATTTCACTGAAACGAAAGCGAGGATTTTCCCCCACTTGATTTCTGACAACACACCTATTAACCAGTTCGAGGAGAGGAGTGACGATTCAAATGAGAGCATTCATCCAGACAACGGAAATGACATGATAAACTAAGAATCACAGGATTTATATAACCTGAACTGTTCCATTTTATCTGCATTATCTTTGTTAGTGCACATTCATTAACGAAGCAGATAGGTGTTAATAAAGACATCCAATGGATGTAAGAACATAGGGTTCTTTAGGAAGTTCAGAGGTACAGTTAAAGTAAGATGAGCATATCATGATATGATAATAATGTAATTTCACAGCTTTAAGTATTTATTAAGAATTAAAGCACTGCTCGTATTAGCATTTTAATAGTGAATATTATACACTGCCAAGGGTAAAACCCTGTGTCAGTCTCATAAAAGCTACTTAACTTCTTTGATTTAAGTCCAATCACTCACCATGTCAATTATGCTCATATGCTCATATGGTCAATTATGCAAATTCACTTTCAAATTCATTCAATTCAAGACGGTTAGGACTAGGAGTATCAAAAGCATGGCTAGCTACAGTAAAGGCCTTTATTTTGTGGTAGTTCTGAACTCTACACCTCCTATAATAACATAGTGGTCACCTTACATTTGTACAAAAGGTAGCATACAGAGTCCATTTCATTCATTCATTTATTCATTGATATTCAATTCAAATGCTATAGGGCAAAAGTGCATCAGTGAAGACCATGTTCCTATTCAGAAGGTTGTTCTGACAAACAACGCATGGTTACTTTGAGCTAACGGCACGATTCTGAAAAGAGAGTCATTCGTCTGATTAAAAACCCTATAAAAAGTCACGATAAAAACACATTCAGTATGAAATAAAAGAGATGTTAATACATACAATTTAGTAATAAAACTAACTACATATATGTATACACCCACATTAATATGCATACACGTTTATATATGTATAATCACATTCACAATTATAATATGCGCTTGAAAGAGGAACGTTATGGGAATGCAACACTCTTTCACGTGGAGACCGCACGCAGCAAGGCCCCAGGACGCTCCTGTGAGACAGAGGAGAAGAGACGCACGCGGCAGGGGTCTGGGTGGGGCCCAAAGGAGCACCACAGCAAGCCAGCGTAGACTTTGTCGGTTGGAGCCCTTGTGTGCAGCAGAGAGTGATGGAAGAGCAATCAGCAGGTCCATCCCCACTCTCAGAGTTAGTATTAAGGCAGAGACTGCAAGGAGAGTTGGAGAGTTGTTGTTGTTGAATTGCGGGTGGATGGCCTGTAATTTGTCTCAGCTCAGCCTCCAGGTTTCCTGGCCTGAGCCTGAGCTGCTGTGTGGCGACTGAATGGTTATGGAGGAGAGCCCTCTGCTGGCATGCTGATGTCACTGCACTGCCGCTCCAGCCTTCCTCTGGTCTGAGGTGCTGGTGCAGGGAGGAGGAGGAGGAGGGGATGAAGAGGTAGGGTGAAGGGCAGGCATGCTGTTTCTAGAGTAGTACTGCTCCTACTCTGATCTGAGTGGCCATGTGGGGCCACACGAGTTACTGAACAACAGCATGACAGAGGTGATGTTCAACACACGCACAGCATGATGGGAATGTTTCGATCAACACAGAAATAAAAGAAACGGAGAGATAAAATAAACAAAAATCATGGATGAATGAAGGAGACACACAGGAAGATTAGAAGTGAACGAATGGGCGGCGGGGGCAACCACAGAGTTACAGCCAATCCACTGCATTCATCATGACCAGTCCTGTTTGACGTAATGACAGTTCATATTACGGACATGCTGAAGCACGTTAAGGTAAGGCGACCACAGGAGAGCAGCGCAGTCTGGCAGGCATTCACAACATTGGAATGAGAATGTAACAATGCAACAACAAGGCAGGCTGTTAGTGCTGGACGTCGCCTGAAGAGCAGAAACACAACATTAAGAGGTGCGTCATAGTGTAGTAGTAGTAGTAGTAGTAGTAGTAGTAGTGTATTAATTGCTTCTCTCTCATTATAAATGATGATGTTGTAAGTCGCTAACTATAAGCCCCCTCCCTGGTCCCTGATTCTTGCTGGTATGCTGCAGTGGATCGGTTACTCTGTGCTGTGTATAGACAGACAGTTTAGAATAACACTCCCTTCCTATAGAGGCACAGCTACTACCTCAGGAATCTCTGCTGCTATGGAATGATGTTAATGGCCATGGATGTGTGCATGCAAACATGCAACCTGCCAACCCCCTCCCCTCCCCGCCCAAGACAAGACCTGTCTCCCACTAGTTCCACCAGATTCAGCATGTACCCTCCACCAAAGACCTCGCCACACTGCTCCACTCAGGAACCTGCAGTCCAACAGGAGAGAGAAAGGAGAGGAGTTACTGTACCGACCCCCACCACTGGGACAGAGACAGATAGTGGACAGTAGTACACACTGAAGAACCCTGCCCCTGGGTGTAATATAGCCCTGACCACCAGAGAGCAGCATTGTTGTGAGACACACACGAAGAGAGAAGGAGTGTCCAATTATCTTAAAGCGTAGTATCATAGTGGGCACATAGACCAGGCCACTCCTTACCAGGACCGTATTACTGCATTCATGTCTTAATAGGTGGAGCAGAGCACTTAACATACAAGAATCACAACAGGTGACTGATAACATATAGACAATACAATGGGTAAAATCAGTAAGAGTCACTTTTCCTATTTCCCAAACCACTTCGATCCAAAGTAGAAAGATCTTAAAACCAGAAGAGCATTTTAACATCTACCTCTAAAAACAAAAGATACATGAATTAAAAACAACAAATCACAATCTGCCCTAAGGGGTGATGAGTCCCCTTGCCATAGAGCATGGCTATGGATATGTTGTCCTACAGACACACATAGCTTAATTCATTGATACAGAGCTCCTGTAGGGTCACTATAATACCAGGATTGTGGAGTGTTTGTTTGTCCGTGAGCTCACACAGTGAACAAAGAGAAGCTGCTGTTCAGACCAGCGCTCCCCAGAGGAGGAAGAGGGGATATGATATAGGAGGAGTCCATGCAGGTGGTCAGATCAGATGTAGGTGACCGCACCTTTGCTGTTCTTCTCCATGGCGATCTCCACGTAGGACGTGGGCACGTAGCCCTCCTCTCCGCTCTGCTTCCTGGCTCGCGTCCAGCCGTCGCCCTTGTCCTCCTCGATGATGTACAGCACCTCGTCCTCCTTCATCAACAGTGTTCCCTCGTTCTGACCTGGGAGTCAACAGCACAACACAGACCAAACACATTCTGTTAGCGCACAGAGAAAGAACCACAACACACACTTTACAGGAATACCACATCACATCATCTACATTCCATATTCACATTCATGCAAATACTAAAAACTGCTCCAGTGTTTGAGACAGTATCGCTAGTCGAAATGCCAACCCAGCACACATACTGTCACCACACAGTGAGACAATGAAATGCAGAGAGAGCACCACTGGCTCTGATGTCTTGTACTATACCATCAAAGGAGTAGAGCGCTTTGCAGTGGCCAAGGACTGGGAGCGGGTCGTCGTCGTCAAACTCATCATCAAACTCGTCTGGCTGGTGGGCCTGTCGGGGGTCTGGCTGGTGAGGGGGAGTGCGGTGCTCCTGGCTGGGGTCGTCTGTGTAACTGCCGTCAGGGCTGGAGGAGGAGGAGGAGGAGAGGGGGATGAGAGAGTCAGTGCTATCTCAGCCACTCGGGTCTAGATGGCTGAACTCAAGCTGTGGGATTCTGCTCCAGTCAGACTGTGACTGAGCCATCCGAGTCACTTTCCTTTAGAAAAACTATTACGACTCCACCCATGTTACGTTTTCAAAGACACAAAGAACAAGAATGTGTGTCATTCTATTTATATGCAAAGACATCTGGTGAACCTGCTAGATTGGATTTGTTCAATTTACGCTATGGCCCATGGGCACGTGTCACTTTCACTACAATAAATAACTCTGTTACTACTATTACTATTTCTTCTACAATCTATTACTACTACATAAACAATGTGTTTCGGTGCCCTCTGACCTCTCTCTGCCGTGGGAGGCGTGATGGTTGACGTCGGCACTGGGTCTTCGATCTCCTCTTGTGCTCACCTTCCCCTCCACCTCCGACAGCCAGCTCTGTGTGAGAGTGAGAGAGTGAGTGAGTGAGTGAGTGAGTGAGTGAGTGAGTGAGTGAGTGAGAGAAGGAAATTAAGAGGTAGAAACAGTCATACTGCTGTTTACAACCCCACGATGGATACACTCATTCTTACCCCCTGAATCTCTAAGAACTCCTATCCTGTTCTACTCAGTGTGCTGTTGACAAAGGGAAGCAGTGCAAATAGTCATCCTCCAGAGGGGGATAACTCAGCACAGCAAACCTTAGCCCAGTCACTATTTCTCCAGATGTACTGTGATGCCTTTCTTGCGCTCCCCTCCACCCATTCCTCCCTCTGGCTGGGGCTTCAGGGCTCTTGGCTGGGGAGGCTTACCTCATTCTTGTGGATCTCGGAGCGCAGTTTCTCCATGTTGCACATGGTCTCGGAGATCTTGGGCTGGAGGCTCTGTGGGTCGCCCATCTGAGGATTCTTCTCATACACATCCTTCATCTTGTTCAGCGCATCTCTTCACACACATACACACAGTCACAATGTGAACACATTGTACATAAACAATTTAACAAATGACACTGACATGTCAATGAAATACTACTGGAGCAGAAACGTGGACAGTATAAAAGAGACACAGATCAGTGTTAAAGTAAGTCTTCCCATGGTCTACCTTTGGTCCACCTCTTTCTGTAGTTCTTTGCTGAGCTCGTCAATCCTAGCCTGCAGCCTCTTGCGTCTCTGTTCGGGAGGCAGATGACTGAAGTCCTCCAGTGATGGAGCCTGAAATCACATCAGTACACTGTCCAGTTACATTGACACAGTCACTCGTAGTCTCTAGAAACCTTCTCACAGCAAGAACCTACGAGAATTATACTAGGAGACCAGAGAAAGAATAGGTTTGAGAACCTCACTCTAGAACGGCGTGTAACACTAGACTTGTGCTATAGAACGCCACAAGGTGGGACAAATGCACAACTAGCTATGGCAGTCCAGATATCACACTACTGACTCACAACTTACCTTCACTGACCACTGTGTAGGTTTTGGTTACAATAGAAGAAAAGACAAAAAAATAAAAGATGGAATGGTTATCGAAACATATGTGGCTCATGTAGGTTATTATGGTAACTAAGAGCACAGCATCACAAGGGTGTGACTATGGAAGGAGAGTTAGAGGTTGTCGGGGGTGTTTTCCTTTGGGAACAGAGTTACCCACAGTTGTCAAGAACAAAGGTAGACACAATCTGATGAGCACTATTAGTGTGTCAATCTGGGTGAAGTTATACTTGTTAATCTGTGTTATTATATTTCATTAATTGAATGGATAGCTTGATGCTACATAGTATTGGAAAGGCTATTCTCCAAGGAGAATACACTGTTCAAGATATCCTTTTAATTCCACTAAAAACAAGTTGACATCTTAAAAGCCCTCTTTAGATGATGTGATGCTATTTGAAGCAAGAAGAGGGTTGTTTCCAGGAAGTCCGTCTCTTTACTGCAGACAACCATGAATCACCTCATACATTAAGGAAATTAAACCAGGTCCTTCAGCCAGAAACCAATGAGACACACAGGGGTGACACACAATCAATGGTCTGGCACAGTAATACCACTGTGTGACATTGATTAGACTGTGTAGCCATCATTCAGTATATTGGCTGGCTCATGACGAGGTAAAGTTGACCTTCATTTCACATCGACATACCACTGTAACCACCCCCTATCCAAATACCACCTACAGCTTCAGTATCGCTTCCTACACTTCACACAACACACTCAATAATGGCACTCCTGTGATTTCAACACCCCCTGTTCCTAACTAGAGAATAACTGATTCAAAACCAGAGACAGAAGAGAGGGAGGTGAGAAGGGAGAGAGAGAGAAAGATAAAATAATGAAATCACTGCAAACCCAAACACACTGACATGCTCTTAGTCTTACCCCTCGTTTAAGACCCCTGAAAGAGGCTATCCTGGGTTTGACCGTTCTCATTTCAGACAGACAGAAAGCTATGGGGTCACTGGCAAATTTAGGAGACTGACAGTGGCTGGCGGTAGCCAAGTCGGGGCGGTGGGGAGCAGGGGGAGGAGAGGAGGGGGGAGACTGGGACAACAAAAAAGAGGTGATCAACCTCCAAACTTTTAGAACTAGGAACATATTGTAACGATTGAACATAAACTCATGGTGTTGTGTCTATATAAGTGATAAGCAGAGGTAAAAAAAGTGGTTATCCAACGTATTATCCCACAAAACAAATCTCAACAGGAGAAACTCCAGGTAAGCAAGATCATGCAAGACGAAATTTGAGAGACCCTCGGGTGAGAAACAAGAATGGACATCAGACGAGCAGGCAAATCAAAGTCAATATGAGCACCAACACCCCTTGTATTAGACAAGTCATTTGAAATGGTGAGCTACTCTCACACAAACCTACAACAAGTTATAGATGAATAGACGGTATCGCCTTTGGCAGGTCAAAGTGTAGTGATTTAGGCAATGAGATAGACAATGCTAGATTTAGGTGACTGTTATAAAACACAGCTACCGTAAGGTATAAACCTACCAGTGGACTCTGTTATGAGAAAAAAAACAGACAAAAATCAGTGAGTGGGCATTAATACAAGTAGTTCACTATTGAAACAGTGAGCAAAGGTCTTGATAGCTGGTGATGATGAATCTCTCACCTTGGGCTTTTTCCCAAAGAGCCACAGTTTGTTCTTGGCCGCCTTGCTGATCGAGTGTTTGGGGTCTGGCTTGACCCCCCCCTCGTTCTTGGGGGTGCTGATAGTGTTGTCTGAGCCCGTCCGGGAGAGGTTCTGACTGTAGTCCTCAAACGGGAAGTCCCCTGGAGGCTCAAAGCCCGACTTAAACGACTCCACTACAATCGCTGAGTCCTGACAGAGAGAGAAGAGAAAGAGAGCATGAGACTGCATGACAGTGAACATCAATCAAACATTACAGACTGACATTTCTTTAAAATGATGTTTTCTGGGACACCATGACCACAGTGTAAAGCACAGCTCAGCCCCTGGTGGAAACCACAGGGTAGCATGCGCTGTGTGCATAAAGAAGAATCAAAGGAAAACATGTCACACTGAGTGGGAACAACTCTGCTCAGCTGGCTCCAGCAGTAGCAACAGCCAGGCTGTATGTAGGCCCATGGGTGGGAAGGGGAGATGAGGCTCTGCCTGCCGGGGCCAGCCAGCAACACAAACACTGGAGGAGACAGAGGCCAGAGGCTGGAAATTAGGCAGGGGCTAACTGATACACCACAGCTAGCATGCTAGCAGATGCCCATAGTCTTCCAGTCATTGTGCTAATGCTAGTAGGCATTGGCTGACGAGACTTCCTCTAACCTCCTTCATACTGGACACAGAGACAATAAAATGGTATCCACCAGTTCAGCTGACTCTGGGGCAGTAGATAAAGGGCCTCATTGCCAAAATCCCAAAGTATCCCTTTAACACTAGAACCGCCCGGCCTTTCAGCACCCGATAGAGAACGTTGCCGGGCGTCCTCTTCAGCACCCGATAGAGAACGTTGCCGGGCATCCTCTTCAGCATATGCATCAGATGCATATCAACCTACAAGGTGCGCAAACATAAGCACCAAAGTTTGATAAATAGTGCATAAACTATTGGAAAGGATAAATTGCATGAAGAAATATTAGTGAAAATATATCCATGTAAAAATATAACAACAATAGCTATTTGTTTAGATAGTCTAGGATATGTTTTGTATAATTCTACAAAGTCCTGGTGGAAAAACGTAGGCCTATAGCCTATTTGACACCACTTCCAGCCAATGACGCATCAACATTCTAACAATCTAATAAATACATTTCCTACATGCTATCGGAAGAATAATCATTTGGTTGTGTGTATGAAGGTCTTAGGTAACATTCGAATACTAAAAAACAATTATTTCAAAAGAACATAATAGCATTTTCATTAGTTTGTGTTACTCTAGGCCAGAGGTGTCAAACTCATTCCATGGAGGGCCTAGTGTCTGCTGGTTTTTGTTTTTTCCTTTCAATTAAGACCTAGACAACCAGGTGAGGGGAGTTCTTTACCAATTAGTGACCTTAATTCATCAATCAAGTACAAGGGAGTAGCGAAAACCCGCAGACACTCGGCCCTCTGTGGAATGAGTTTGACACGTGTGCTTCTAGGCTATAAGTAAAAACGAAAAACTACTAATTCAAGAGTTCAATCCATCACAAAGAAATCCATTATAATTTCGTTTTGGAAGGTCTAAAGAAACATTGTGGAAATAAGAAGATTTATTTAAAAAATAAAAGCATATTTTAAGTGTATTATGTTACTAGTCTTTGCCTAGTTGCCAGTGCAATGCTGCCACACAAGCAGTCATGTGCATGGACAGCGCTGATATTCTTGGAAAAAGTGATATTTGGAAATAGAGCTGCACCTCTTGAATTTTGAGAGTTAGTTGACAAAGGTAAGTGTCATAGAAACTGCAGAATATGCTCTTTCTGATACTATACACAAATCTAAACGTTTTACCTGAATGTGACTGTAGGAGGATTTGATAAAGTGGTGCTCCTTTCCCTGCATCTGTCAATTCCAAGCTGCGCCCATCTCTTCATGTACAATTTGACAACTGATAATATTGTCACTCATCAGACTAATGTCAATTTAATATGGTCTTTAGTTTGGGTATAGTTTAGGTGTAGTTTCGATGGGCCGGCTGGTCAGGCTGGTCAGGCTGACTGGCATCGTTTGCTTCCCCTCACTCATCAACTCGGAAAGAGTCAAGGATATGTTTTGCATTATTCTAAAGGCCTACTGTAACACATAACATGTTTTCATTTCCCACAATACATTTTATTAGTAATAGAGTTATAGTCAATAAAACAGTCCCATAACAGCTTCTTTTTACAAAGTAAAACGTAAAAGGAAATGGTACCAACCCGCAAGGTGCGCCGACAAATTATTAACATGAGTGCCAACGCTGATAAATAGGCATATAAACTCAACATTACACAACTGTTGTTCTAAATTAAATCAACCTCTTCACCCTCCTTATCATTCAGTTAGGCCTAATTGAAATTAAATTGTGAAGTAACGTGCACAATTATCTCCCATTCATCCATGTAATTCATTCAGTGAGGGGAGAGAGACACAATAGCACCTGGTTGGGTACCAACGTCCTACAGCGCAAGTTGGTGAAAAGGTTCAATACTTTGAAAATGAGCAATGTAAAATACAAACATTTTGTAAAAGTCAGGGAAGGAGCAAGAGGTTGCATTTTGTTTTAGCATATTTTTTATTTATTTACTAAATCAAACATCAGTGGCCGTTGGCCTATGGCGGTTCCAGTGTTTAGAGAGCCCAGGGAGCCATTGCCTCACCGCTGGCCTGGCTGCTGGGTGGATGACTAACTACTGGTCCTGCTCCACCCATGCCATGAGCTGCCTCCGCTCTGTACCCTGCGCTAAAGTCACCATGCTAAAGCATAGACTTGTGTACACCCTGCTCCAAATTATAGAACACCGTGCTATATGCTTATGCTATAGGGAATCATGCTACTGTGTAGGCCACCATACCATAGTGCATCATGCTATAGGGCACCATGCTCCAGACCCACCTTGCGTTGGTCCACAGCCTTGGCAGCAGTCACCATGCCCTCCAGACACTTAGAGATGATGGGGATGACTCTGCGCTCCACGTCGGCAAAGCTCCGGTACGTCTCTCCCAGCTTCACTGTTCGCCTCTCGTCCATGTCCTGCAGGTTCTGGAGAGGTGGGAACACACACACAGTGACTTCTGACCTTTTGGTCTCCTGTTAGCCAATTACAGCTCAGAGTTCCATCTCTCCGGCCAATGCGGGATGAGACAAGAAGTTGGAGCCTGGAGGAGAATGGCTGGCCGTGGCTTACCTTGAATATCTGTGGAATGGCCACGTTGAAATGTTTCCACTGCTCCCCGTTAAAGTTCTGCAGCTGAGCAGCGTACTCATTCTTACTCTCGTCTGCAGAGTGTGTGCGCAGGTACAACTGGGACTTTGCCTGCAGTGGACAAGAGGGAAAATTCAGGACCACTCAACATACACGGCAAAGGACAACCTCCGAGGTGTATGGGTGTAGGTAGTGTACATGTCATGGCTCAAGCCAGGTCAGGACGTACCTTTTCTACCTCTGACTTGGTGGCGTTGATGTCGTTGTCTAACCTGTCGTAGCTGATCTGTGATTTCTCTGCCTCCTTACACTCCCGCTCAAACTTCTTCTTGCTCTAAGAAAGTCAAATGGGAGATTGAGATTATTAGTCAAGACATTTTGACCTCTTCTCAAAACCAAGAGTCATCCTGCCTCGTAATGAATGCAAGCCTCTACTATTTCTACAGGACATACAGTGGGGAGAACAAGTATTTGATACACTGCCGATTTTGCAGGTTTTCCTACATACAAAGCATGTAGAGGTCTGTAATTTTTTTATCATAGGTACACTTCAACTGTGAGAGACGGAATCTAAAACAAAAATCCAGAAAATCACATTGTATGATTTTTAAGTACGGTAACTAATTTGCATTTTATTGCATGACATAAGTATTTGATACATCAGAAAAGCAGAACTTAATATTTGGTACAGAAACCTGTTTGCAATTACAGAGATCATACGTTTCCTGTAGGTCTTGACCAGGTTTGTATACACTGCAGCAGGGATTTTGGCCCACTCCTCCATACAGACCTTCTCCAGATCCTTCAGGTTTCGGGGCTGTCACTGGGCAATACGGACTTTCAGCTCCCTCCAAAGATTTTCTATTGGGTTCAGGTCTGGAGACTGGCTAGGCCACTCCAGGACCTTGAGATGCTTCTTACGGAGCCACTCCTTAGTTGCCCCGGCTGTGTGTTTCGGGTCGTTGTCATGCTGGAAGACCCAGCCACAACCCATCTTCAATGCTCTTACTGAGGGAAGGAGGTTGTTGGCCAAGATCTCTCGATACATGGCCCCATCCATCCTCCCCTCAATACGGTGCAGTCGTCCTGTCCCCTTTGCAGAAAAGCATCCCCAAAGAATGATGTTTCCACCTCCATGCTTCACGGTTGGGATGGTGTTCTTGGGGTTGTACTCATCCTTCTTCTTCCTCCAAACACGGCGAGTGGAGTTTAGACCAAAAAGCTATATTTTTGTCTCATCAGACCACATGACCTTCTCCCATTCCTTCTCTGGATCATCCAGATGGTCATTGGCAAACTTCAGACGGGCCTGGACATGCGCTGGCTTGAGCAGGGGGACCTTGCGTGCGCTGCAGGATTTTAATCCATGACGGCGTAGTGTGTTACTAATGGTTTTCTTTGAGACTGTGGTCCCAGCTCTCTTCAGGTCATTGACCAGGTCCTGCCGTGTAGTTCTGGGCTGATCCCTCACCTTCCTTATGATCATTGATGCCCCACGAGGTGAGATCTTGCATGGAGCCCCAGACTGAGGGTGATTGACCGTCATCTTGAACTTCTTCCATTTTCTAATAATTGCGCCAACAGTTGTTGCCTTCTCACCAAGCTGCTTGCCTATTGTCCTGTAGCCCATCCCAGCCTTGTGCAGGTCTACAACTTTATCCCTGATGTCCTTACACAGCTCTCTGGTCTTGGCCATTGTGGAGAGGTTGGAGTCTGTTTGATTGAGTGTGTGGAGAGGTGTCTTTTATACAGGTAACGAGTTCAAACAGGTGCAGTTAATACAGGTAATGAGTGGAGAACAGGAGGGCTTCTTAAAGAAAAACTAACAGGTCTGTGAGAGCCGGAATTCTTACTGGTTGGTAGGTGATCAAATACTTACAGTGGGGAAAAAAAGTATTTAGTCAGCCACCAATTGTGCAAGTATTTTCATCATAGGTACACGTCAACTATGATAGACAAATTGAGGAAAAAAAATCCAGAAAATCACATTGTAGGATTTTTAATGAATTTATTTGCAAATTATGGTGGAAAATAAGTATTTGGTCACCTACAAACAAGCAAGATTTCTGGCTCTCACAGACCTGTAACTTCTTCTTTAAGAGGCTCCTCTGTCCTCCCCTCGTTACCTGTAGTAATGGCACCTGTTTGAACTTGTTATCAGTATAAAATACACCTGTCCACAACCTCAAACAGTCACACTCCAAACTCCACTATGGCCAAGACCAAAGAGCTGTCAAAGGACACCAGAAACAAAATTGTAGACCTGCACCAGGCTGGGAATACTGAATCTGCAATAGGTAAGCAGCTTGGTTTGAAGAAATCAACTGTGGGAGCAATTATTAGGAAATGGAAGACATACAACACCACTGATAATCTCCCTCGATCTGGGGCTCCACGCAAGATCTCACCCCGTGGGGTCAAAATGATCACAAGAACGGTTAGCAAAAATCCCAGAACCACACGGGGGGACCTAGTGAATGACCTGCAGAGAGCTGGGACCAAAGCAACAAAGCCTACCATCAGTAACACACTACGCCGCCAGGGACTCAAATCCTGCTGTGTCCCCCTGCTTAAGCCAGTACATGTCCAGGCCCGTCTGAAGTTTGCTAGAGTGCATTTGGATGATCCAGAAGAGGATTGGGAGAATGTCATATGGCCAGATGAAACCAAAATAGAACTTTTTGGTAAAAACTCAACTCGTCGTGTTTGGAGTACAAAGAATGCTGAGTTGCATCCAAAGAACACCATACCTACTGTGAAGCATGGGGGTGGAAACATCATGCTTTGGGGCTGTTTTTCTGCAAAGGGACCAGGACGACTGATCCGTGTAAAGGAAAGAATGAATGGGGCCATGTATCGTGAGATTTTGAGTGAAAACCTCCTTCCATCAGCAAGGGCATTGAAGATGAAACGTGGCTGGGTCTTTCAGCATGACAATGATCCCAAACACACCGCCCGGGCAACGAAGGAGTGGCTTCATAAGAAGCATTTCAAGGTCCTGGAGTGGCCTAGCCAGTCTCCAGATCTCAACCCCATAGAAAATCTTTGGAGGGAGTGACCAAATACTTATTTTCCACCATAATTTGCAAATAAATTCATAAAAAATCCTACAATGTGATTTTCTGGAATTTCTTTTCTCATTTTGTCTGTCATAGTTGACGTGTACCTATGATGAAAATTACAGGCCTCTCTCATCTTTTTAAGTGGGAGAACTTGCACAATTGGTGGCTGACTAAATACTTTTTTTCCCCACTGTATGTCATGCAATAAAATGCAAATTAATTACTTAAAAATCATACAATGTGATTTTCTGGCTTTTTGTTTTAGATTCCGTCTCTCACAGTTGAAGTGTACCTATGATAAAAATGACAGACCTCTACATGCTTTGTAAGTAGGAAAACCTGCAAAATCGGCAGTGTATCAAATACTTGTTCTCCCCACTGTAGATAGGAGAGCAAAACAGAGCAGAAGCACTATTTATTGTGGTTAATAAACAGGCAGCAGTGCAAACAAAAAACCTCTAAAGAAATGTATGCTCTCGTCCTGCCAGAACATCTGTGCTGCATTACGTGACAGTGCAACAAAGAGGAATACCTAAGGCATTACAACGCTGCCATTCTCAATGCGAGAATAATTCAGCCTTTGAAAATGTGACTCACAGGCAAACTGCAAAGGCATGAAATGCAGGAATACTTCTCTCATCAGTGTGTGTGTGTGTGTGTGCCCATGTGCTCTTTTATGTATGCATCTTCCTGTGTGTGTGTGTGTGTGTGTGTGTGTGTGTATGCAGTCCTTTAAATGTGTGTGTGTTTATGCAGTCCTTTAAATGTATGTCTATGTGTGTGTGTGTGTGTGTTTATGCGTTTATGCAGTCCTATAAATGTATGTCTGTGTGTGTGTGTGTGTGTGTGTGTGTGTGTGTGTGTGTGTGTGTGTGTGTGTCTGTGTGTGTGTGTGTGTGTGTGTGTGTGTGTGTGTGTGCGCAGATGTAAATGGAGATCCTCTTGGCCCTCTCTCACACGCGGCCCAGCAGGACTGAGCGTCTAGCTGTCGGCAGAGGGGAGCAGGTCCCTGCTGGTGGTCCACGTGTCACGCAGGCCTCCTGCCCTGCGAGGGGCCTTCCCTGTCCCCGCCGTGCCCTGTGCCACGTGGCCCTCCCTCCCTCCATCCCTTCTCTTCTTCCCTGCCTCCTCTCACACACTCACATTGTCCATATGTTTCCAACACTGGTCCAGATACTGCTGAGCCTTCCTGCCCTCCTGGAGGTGCTGTGGAGTCAACACACACAAACATACAGATGTACTATCTTAATTTGACTAGTTTCTCACAGCGGGAAAATAATCCTGCAGCAACAGGAAATGTGAATTATTATGTGGATTATAATTAATGGACAATTTTGTGTAGGGTTTGATACATATTTAGTTAGGATAAATCAAGTATGACATTTTAAAGTGGAAATTACAAACCTTAGAAGCCTTTTTAAACTTTGAATACCCTACAATTTGCATGTCCTGCTGCACATTAAAATTATCTGTGACAACAGTGATCAAATTAAGATAGCACACCAGTATGAACAGGAGGATCTCAATACACACGTACAGTTGAAGTCGGAAGTTTACATACACCTTAGCCAAATACATTTAAACTCAGTTTTTCACAATTCCTGACATTTAATCCTAGTAAAAATTCCCTGTCTTAGGTCAGTTAGGATCACCACTTTATTTAAAGAATGTGAAATGTCTGAATAGAAGTAGAGTGAATGATTCATTTCAGCTTTTATTTATTTCATCACATTCCCAGTGGGTCAGAAGTTTACATACACTCAATTAGTATTTGGTAGCATTGCCTTTAAATTGTTTAACTTGGGTCAAACGTTTCGGGTAGCCTTCCACAAGCTTCCCACAATAAGTTGGGTGAATTTTGGCCCATTCCTCCTGACAGAGCTGGTGTAACTGAGTCAGGTTTGTAGGCCTCCTTGCTCGCACACACTTTTTCAGTTCTGCCCACAAATGTTCTATAGGATTGAGGTCAGGGCTTTGTGATGGCCACTCCAATACCTTGACTTTGTTGTCCTTAAGCCATTTTGCCACAACTTTGGAAGTATGCTTGGGGTCATTGTCCAGTTGGAAGACCCATTTGCGACCAAGCTTTAACTTCCTGACTGATGTCTTGAGATGTTGCTTCAATATATCCACATAATTTTCCTCCCTCATGATGCCATCTATTTTGTGAAGTGCACCAGTCCCTCCTGCAGCAAAGCACCCCCACAGCATGATGCTGCCACCCCCGTGCTTCACGGTTGGGATGGTGTTCTTCGGCTTGCAAGCCGCCCCCCTTTTCCTCCAAACATAACGATGGTCATTATGGCCAAACAGTTCTATTTTTGTTTTATCAGACTAGAGGACATTTCTCCAAAAAGTACGATCTTTGTACGCATGTGCAGTTGCATACCGTAGTCTGGCTTTTTTATGGCGGTTTTGGAGCAGTGGCTTCTTCCTTGCTGAGCGGCCTTTCAGGTTATGTCGATATAGGACTCGTTTTACTGTGGATATAGATACTTTTGTACCGGTTTCCTCCAGCATCTTCACAAGGTCCTTTGCTGTTGTTCTGGGATTGATTTGCACTTTTCGCACCAAAGTACGTTCATCTCTAGGAGACAGAACGCGCCTCCTTCCTGAGTGGTATGACGGATGCGTGGTCCCATGGTGTTTATACTTGCGTACTATTGTTTGTACAGATGAACGTGGTACCTTCAGGCGTTTGGAAATTGCTCCCAAGGATGAACCAGACTTGAGGTCTACAGTTATTTTTCTGAGGTGTTGGCTGATTTCTTTTGATTTTCCTATGATGTCAAGCAAAGAGGCACTGAGTTTGAAGGTAGGCCTTGAAATACATCAACAGGTACACTTCCAATTGACTCAAATGATGTCAATTCGCCTATCAGAAGCTTCTAAAGCCATGACATCAATTTTTGAATTTTCCAAGCTGTTTAAAGGCACAGTCAACTTAGTGTATGTAAACTTCTGACCCACTGGAATTGTGATACAGTGAATTATAAGTGAAATAATCTGTCTGTAAACAATTGTTGGAAAAATTATTCATGCACAAAGTTTGTTAAAAATACATTTGTGGAGTGGTTGAAAAATGAGTTTTCATGACTCCAACGTAAGTGTATGTAAACTTCCGACTTCAACTATATAACTTACTCACTACGGCATAGACAAAATAACCAAACTATACACAACGTAACCACACTGTACATAATGAAGGCCTGCAATACGTACAACCAGGGATTAGTGTCCTACTAGTAAAGCCACTCACGTGTTTCCTCTCTGACTTGAGGTCCTGTGAATACCTCATCAGCTCTCCGTACACATTGTGTCCCATCTCCTCGGCCACTACCTCCCTCTGCCCAGCGTAGTCATTCAGCTCATTCAGGATGGAGTAGAACGACACGCACGACGAGAACCTGAACACACAGGACAGGATACTCAACACTTGAGGTAAGCATTTATACTGGCCTCGGCCCTAGGGCACAGCAAACAAGGGTACTAGCAAGTGAAGTTTGACAAATGTATTTGTATGGATAGAGGGTAAGACAGAGAGAGATCCATGCTGTGGAACCCCTCCGATGGCAGTGGTTATGGCCAGGGCTATAATATGGTCGGTCCTATTCTGGACCTAGGCTCTGATTAAAAAGAGAGACCAGCTCCCTCTGTATCACACAGAGAGGAGGACGCCTAGTGGGAGCTAGAAGGCCAATAACATGCCGGACTCTGTATTAATATTGATAACAGGCCCACCTCCTCCTTAGTGACGTTACCATCACACTTTATTAGAATTCTCCTAAACCTCCATCCCCCCCCACATACACGCATCCACTGAGGAAGGACCAAGGAAGGTGGGACAGGGACATATGTTATGTATCCCTTAGAGGGCCTCCCTCACTCACTCCAGCCCTCCCTCCCTCGTCCTGTCCGGTTACAGTACCAGTGTTAGGAATTAGGACACAGGGCCAAATGATGCAAGGATAATGTAATTAATTAGGGGGAGGGTTTCAGAGAATTCAGAGGGTGGTGTCCCAACCATAGCCTGTCTTAAATATGTCCACTGTAAATATCAGTGCTGTGAGGCTGAGGCTAAAGGGAGCCAGCTCTCGCTCTCTCCCTCCTTCCCTCAGTCTCTCCCTCCTTCCCCCTCCCCCTCTCCCTCTCCTTCCCTCACAGCCCTTTCCTTTGATATCATTACTGTGCATTAGCAGCCAATAATGTCACCGTGGAGTGGCCAAGCACTGTGACCGTACATCAGAGCCAGATATTCTACACAGCTGTAGGACTTGCTAACTCTGTTACAGTGAGGGAAAAAAGTATTTGATCCCCTGCTGATTTTGTACGTTTGCCCACTGACAAAGAAATGATCAGTCTATAATTTTAATGGTAGGTTTATTTGAACAGTGAGAGACAGAATAACAACAAAAAAATCCAGAAATAAGATTGTAGACCTACACAAGGCTGGAATGGCCTACAAGACCATCACCAAGCAGCTTGGTGAGAAGGTGACAACAGTTGGGGCAATTATTCGCAAATGGAAGAAACACAAAAGACCTGTCAATCTCCCTCGGCCTGGGGCTCCATGCAAGATCTCACCTTGTGGAGTTGCAATGATCATGAGAACGGTGAGGAATCAGCCCAGAACTACACAGGAGGATCTTGTCAATGATCTCAAGGCAGCTGGGACCATAGTCACCAAGAAAACAATTGGTAACACACTACGCCGTGAAGGACTGAAATCCTGCAGTGCCCGCAAGTTCCCCCTGCTCAAGAAAGCACATATACAGGCCCGTCTGAAGTTTGCCAATGAACATCTGAATGATTCAGAGGAGAACTGGGTGAAAGTGTTGTGGTCAGATGAGACCAAAATGGAGCTCTTTGGCATCAACTCAACTCGCCGTGTTTGGAGTAGGAGGAATGCTGCCTATGACCCCAAGAACACCATACCCACCGTCAAACATGGAGGTGGAAACATTATGCTTTGGGGGTGTTTTTCTGCTAAGGGGACAGGACAACTTCACCGCATCAAAGGGACGATGGATGGGGCCATGTACCATCAAATCTTGGGTGAGAACCTCCTTCCCTCAGCCAGGGCATTGAAAATGGGTCATGGATGGGTATTCCAGCATGACAATGACCCAAAACACACGGCCAAGGCAACAAAGGAGTGGATCAAGAAGAAGCACATTAAGGTCCTGGAGTGGCCTAGCCAGTCTCCAGACCTTAATCCCATAGAAAATCTGTGGAGGGAGCTGAAGGTTCGAGTTGCCAAACGTCAGCCTCGAAACCTTAATGACTTGGAGAAGATCTGCAAAGAGGAGTGGAACAAAATCCCTCCTGAGATGTGTGCAAACCTGGTGGCCAACTACAAGAAACATCTGACCTCTGTGATTGCCAACAAGGGTTTTTGCCACCAAGTACTGTCATGTTTTGCAGAGGGGTCAAATACTTATTTCCCTCATTAAAATGCAAATCAATTTATAACATTTTTGACATGCGTTTTTCTGGATTTTTGTCTCTCACTGTTCAAATAAACCTACCATTAAAATGATAGACTGATCAAGTCTTTGTCAGTGGGCAAACGTACAAAATCAGCAGGGGATCAAATACTATTTTCCCTCACTGTACTCTATTCTATGGAAGCAATTATACATTTAAAAAGTGCTGGGTTGCCATGGCAGTCCGTGTTTGTTGATGACAGGTCTAGTTGAAAGGCCCTGTGTGTGTGGTATAAAGCTGATACCGCTCACAGGTTGTTAACCATTTAATAAAACTGGGGCTAATCTACTTGCCTAGGTTCCTCCTCTTTGGAGCGCTTGGGACAGTACTTCTTCACCAGGTTCCTGTGAGGGGAGAGGAGACAGATGGTCAGAGACAGATAAGAGTGACAGACAGCTGCCTTTTTCACTCTCCAAGGCAGGAGCACATTAACCAAAATTACACAGATTTTTCATTATTTCAATAATTCCTGTATGTGAATATGAGGAAGTGATATGCTGAGATCGCTCAGTTAGTTTCCCTCAGTTAGATGCTCCTGAGACAGAGAGAGACTAGATAAAAGTAGGTTAGACTGACACAGATAACCTGGTACTGTGTGATATTCCTACTCTCTCCTCTGTTGTTCCCAACAGAACACATGCAGGAGGAGCAACACAAAGAAATTGTTCTCTTTGATAAAGTAGTCCCTCTGGAGAGGGGCTCCTGTAGTGTGGGGCGGTGCTGTGGGGCTCTTCAGGCATCGCTCCGGTTCCACTCGCTCTTCAGGGATGAATAGAGGAGGAGTACAGAGAGGTTTTCAGAACTTGCCGCCGCCGTGCCCCCTCCTCCAATCAGCCCCCACTGAGCCCAACTAATGATGTCTGGTGCTTCCACCAAACAGCACTCTGTTTCCCCATCCTGGGGAGCAGGGGAGTAGCTCCCTGCACACACAGACTGATAAACATCAGCCTTGCCTGGTGCCGCTCTATGATTCACACAGAACAATACCTGAACACAGACAGACTGTCCAGGGAGTCAGGGACGGGGGAGAAATACCTCTACAGAAACGGTAGGGAGAGAAGGAGTGCTGGAAATGGTAGAAAATACTCATTCCACCCACAGCGTGAAGCCTATCAGCGTCTAACGCACGTTTTAAGAATGCATGAAGGCAAAATCACTGAGCTCTTCTTCTTCAGCCCATGATTCATAGCTGGTTCAATTATTCACTGGGTTACACACGCCGTGACTAAACATCCCCAGTTTAATAGGTTAGTCGTCATTCACACTCATCTCCTTAAATAAAAAAATCTTCAGCGTATTGATGCTGTAACTAGGCAACACTCAAAGGGGGGTGTAGAGCCTCCTGGCGGGTGCAGAGGCCACAGCTGGAGCCTCTACGTTACCAGGCAGTGACGATGACAGCTCCAGGGGGACTGCGCTGGGGGTCGGAGGGACACGGGGGTGTTTCTAAATCCTACTAACAGAGATACTTACGGCAGGTTGCATTTTATGTGGGCTTGAATGTGCCTATATGACATCTAATACCGGATGAGGCACCAGTTATTCACAAACAAGTATAGAAAAATACATTAAATTAAATGTGTTAGCAGCAACCATTTTTTCCAGACTGCATTTATTTCATTGGGGAAACAAACCAGTTTAATAAAACTGATCACATGAGAGGAAAGGACAGTGAGCGTCATGCTCTCTCAGCCATGGCAGCAGCTCCGAGTAGAGGGGACAATTAAGCAGGAAGCAAAGGTGTGAAGTTGAACCCTATCATGTCATGGTCATCATGTCATGCTGACGTCACACGTGTGTGTGGGCAGGTTCATTGAGTGGTCACCTATGGTTTACGAACCTAGCCTAAACAGTATCTTCCTATTCCCAGCCTAATCTTGTTAAACCAGTGGTCTCACAATCTAATTCAAGAACTGGTAGAATGTCGTTTTAGAACTCCTTGTTAGGGGTTTTGCTCCTTGGTAGATTTGCTCCAAAAGGTTATAACACATGGATGTCAGGGAGGACACAGCCTTGAGAGCATAATCCAACAGCGTATAATGGGTATACATCTGTAACCAACTCCAGCTTTACCATTTGAGGGGCATTGGCATCTGCCCACTCCTCTAATGTCTAGAGACTGGCCAGTAGCCACCTCCTAGAAATCAATTTGTTCCGTGGTTAAGCCTATTATATTGATTTGTGGCCCCCCAAAAATCAATTCATGGCAGCACAACCATGTCAAATTGGGCTGAGTTGGCCCAATTGTTCAGGCTGAGTGGTCTGTCTGTACCACAGATGATTTTAGATATTCATCAAAAGACAGGATCCAATTACATTATTTGATAATTATCCTAGTCATTATTTAATTACCTGACATACAACACTGATATAACATGATTAACATATTGAAGGTTAATATGCAGTACTAATGCATCCATGTCTAATATACGTCTACATCTATAACACAGAATACAGTATTCTACACAGAATACTAATTAAATTAATTGTTCAAAGTATAGGTAAAACACCTCAAAAACAGTTACGATAAAAGCCACATGGGCCAGAGAGTTTGAATAGGTTCTTACCTTAACTGTTTTGCATATGTCTGTTCGATCTCCAGCCTTTCCTTGACAAACTTTGCATACCTCTCTAGGAAGTCGATCCCCCATTGAGTATGCTTGTCAAGGTTTTCAAACTGGTCCTGAGAGAGAGATGGGGAGAAGGAGAGTGGTTAGGGTTGGAGGGAGACATTGTATGAGCGCTTACAGTGACATGCACATGATGGATTCAATTAAATGAGCCATGAATGAGAACCCAGTCGTCTGACATTGAATAACAAACACATGTTGAGTCACTACTTTATTCCTGTGCCAGGCTGTATTTCCTCAATGATCACACTGGGTAATATCAAGAGTATGTCAAATGAAAGGAAAGCTACAGACACACAGCGCAGGCATACAGAGTACAGACACTCCATACTTCTATTGATGAGAATTCCAGCTAAGGTGTCTAAGAGAAGAACCAGTAACCTTTCGTCTCCAGAGTTAAACGGAAACTTCACAATTGTTCAACTTCATATTCATCATCTCCAGCAGCACCCCAACATCAACATATGTGAAAATGGCGTGCTTCTATGTTTTGTAGTAAAAATGATGTGTGTGTCTGTGTTTCCAATGACATCAGTGAAAACCCAAACCCAGTCAACACAGTGCATACTTTCAGCTGTCTGTCCTCATGTGACCCTCTTCTTCTTTTTGAGGTTAACCTATCCAGTAAGCACTGTGCACATTCTACACACAACCACACATAGCTGAGGCAATCCCCATTAACTGAAGGCCTACTTGGAACAACTCAACATCTAGCCTACATGATATCAGTAGCCAGT